AACATTTTCTAAATTTATTTTAAATGAAACATTTTAAAATTACATATTAATGAACCAAAAATAGTGTGAACCAGCAATATAACTGTGAGAAAAGGCGCTGCTGCCTAGGCCTATAACCTAGGCTTGATTTCTAACCACCGAAATGTACAGGAAGACTAACTCTGGAAACTCCTCCTGCTTCTTTTAGGGTCTGCCACAGGCACCTGCAGAGACATTGTTATCTGCTGCTACCAGACCTCCAGGGGCCAGCATCTTTTGCCAGGGTTGTGAAGTTACATTACACTAAGGATTGCTGGCGACACACCCTGCATCTCACTCTCCCCCCTGCTCCCTGCCTAAGAATCAGAGAGCATGGCTACATTCTCATCTCTGATACATCTTTTCCCTGAACAGGAGGTACAAGAAGAGAACTCCCACTTCTGTCATGTAGACTCTGATTTCCTCTCCTTAGAATCCAGATCATCTTTTCTGTCTCTGTTCCTGAGAGCCTGACTGTGCTGTTTCCTGTCTCTCTATGGAATTATTAATAATTTCAATAAATCTCCCTTGACCCCCCACACTCATGTGGGACCTCTAAGAGAGTAGAAGATTGTGTCCAGGAGCAGCATCACTGAGAGAAGCAGGGACCAATGTCCACACTGAGAACATCTGCATGAGGATCCCAGTTCTTCTCTCCCTTTCTCCCTGAACACTGACATCTCAGATACAGCCCCTGACCCCTCCATGACCCTGCTCAGTTGAAAGACTATGGTTTCCTTGGCTCCCCTGCTGGGCTTCCTTTTTTCACAGGCCCATCTACAAGCACCCACTTTCCTTATTTCCTGCCATGTTGATATACTGATCTCTGGGGTTTCTCTTAGGACAAGACTTCCTTCTCAGGTCCAGTTTGTCTTAACATTTGATAGTCAGTGGGTCAGCATCTACCAAAGAGCATGCTGGGACATACAGACAGCAGACTGACCAATAAGAATCAAAACCAGGCTGCTTTTATAGTCAGAAAAGATGCATGAGCATGCTTAATTGAGATCCACCAATCAGAAGCCTTGAGTGCATATCAGTCATGGAAGTAGCTGAGTCATTGGGAAAATTGTCCCCAACCCCATGATGCTTGCCGAACAAGGAGGGACATGGAGATCCACCACCAGTGAATTGGAGGCTTTGAGTTTGAAGCCAGCCTGCTGAACAGGAGACTCTGTCTTGAAGTCAACAAACCAAAGCTAAGCAAAACTGCGAATAGTACAGAAAGGGGATGGAGGCAGGTCATCTATTAGTACACTTTGGTTGGTGAAAAAGAACTTGAAGATGTCACTAGTTTTCTCTCTAGATTCACTTAGACAAAATTTTCAACCATAGTAGGTTTGCTTTTCTCTGTTTGTATCTTTGTTTTTGAAATGGCAGGGTGTCTCTGTTATGTCGCTCTGACTGTTCTGTAATTTTCTATGTAGATCAGGCTGTTCTCTGACTCACAGAAATTCACCTGCCTCGGCCTCCAGAGTGCTGGGATAGAGTCATGTGCCACTATGTACGCACTGTCTGTCAATAGTTTGTTTGCTGTTTTTTCTTTGTCTTTTTTTTTAGAGCAAAATATAGGATGGTGCAGAGGGGACTAGGATATTCTTAGTTACTGTGACCTCAAACTTGATGATTCATGAGTTTCTGTCTCTAATCTTGGGCAACAGCAAAACCTGGAGACTTAATCCAGAGGAGTAGGTCACACAACCTCACTCACTGGGCCTTTAGGACACACTATAGAGTCTCTTCTTGTTGCTTCCCTCTACTGTGGTGCAGGGAGGTGCTCATGCTGAGATTTGGGGCACATGTGGGAGATGAAGATGATGATGTCATCCTAGGGGAGAAAGAAGAGGTCAGATGGGGCGGGGCATCTGTGCTACTGTAATGTCCTAGTGCAGCCTGAGTGTCCTGTCTACACCACCAGCCGCCATCCTTCTACCATCTCCTCTCGCATCTCCCTAGCTCTCTTCAGGACCCAACCTGCGTGGGTTATTTTGGGGTCCATCTGGATTCTGTTGCTGTCACTCAAAGACGAATTCGGGGAGTGCTAGGAGTGTGACAGGGAATGTGACAAATGGGGCAGCCATGTTTTCTCAGGAGGAGGACTGGTTAAACACGTGGTGGCACATCCCATGTGAAATTGCCTAGGATGACTGTGTGTGTCTGTGTGCAGGGGCATATGTGCACAAATAACTGTGTGCTCATGTATGTGCAGTCCAGAGCACAACCTTAGATGTCATGCACATTCGGCTCTTTTGTATTTTGTAAGTTTTCGTTGTTAGGTTTTGTTTTTGTTTGTATGCTTGCTTTTGCTTTTTGAAACAAAGTCTCACCATACAGCCTTTGCTGGCCCAGCTATATAGACCAGGGAGCCTCCAACACACAGAGATCCACTTGCCTCTCCCTCTGCCTCCTAAACGCTAGAATTAAAGGCTTGCACCATCATGCCTAGCCCACCTTGGGTGAAATATTTAAATTACACTTTCTTATTTTTTTTCTGTAGAGGCTGTGTATACCCATGCTACAGCCTGAGCAGCAGCCAGGTTCTAACACTGTAACCTGACAGTACCAAGATCACAAGCACACAAAAGCCCCAGTGTGCTCACTGCGGAAACAGGCTGCTCTTCCACAGAAAGTGCCCATGTCCCTATGAAAGCATCACAGCTGCAGGACCAAGTCACTGTTATTGGGGGAAACACGGTTGTCACTGCAGGAAACTCATTACAGCATCCTGAACAAAAGTTATCCCACAGCAGGGCCCCTATGGGGATCCAGCTGAGTCCAGGACTTGAAACAACAGAGCCAATGACTTGGGACTCAGAGGCCAGCAGGTGGCAGCAGTGAGGCTGAGCACAAGTGGTGGCTGGGATCCTGAAGGACCAACCAGAGCTTTTTCTGCAAAAAAGCTGTTGACCAGCAGCTGACATATGGCAGCCTCATGAGGCCCAGCCTCTTTTTGGTGACAGACTCTAGACTATAGGGCAGGGCTAGATGAACCCTGGAGGTGAGTACACATGACCAGGATGGCCCCCTCTCAGACCTCACTGAGACTAAAGAGAGGGTTCATTGGTGGAGTGCTTACCTGCTAGGCATGCACAGAACCCTGGGTTCTATCTCCAGCAGGAGACAAAGGGGCACAGTGGGGCACACCTGCCACTCAGAACGTGGGAGGGCAGAGAGGGGGATCTGTAGGAGTTCAATGTCATCCTTGGCTACATAAGAAGTTCAAGGTCCAGCCTGAACTACATGAGACTGCATCCAGTAAAGGAGTGTGGGGGCTTTCTGACAGGTTCAATAGGCCCCATCCCCTCTCCTGATTTTAATTTGGGGCCAACTCATCCCAAAAGTTTCTTGCTTGGGGTCTCCAAGGGCAGGATGGATGGAAAAAGATCTGTGTCCATGCGCAGCTCGGAGTGAGGCCACTGGAATTTGTTTCTGTCCCAGGTCAAGGGATCAGTGGACCATGGGGACTGTGAGGAAGGCAGAGAAAGCAGACATGACAGAGGCTGCTGCATAGTCACCTGCAGGGGAGCATGGAGAAGGCCGTCAGTGCCAAGAGATCTAAAGGAATGGGAAGTCACCTCTGCACTTATCACTCAGGCAGAATGATGCCACTCCCCTGGTACAATCACGTCTTCCAGCCCTTCAGGGAACTGATGGTATCCTGTCATGGAGAAGGGTGGGATGACCCTCCTAGAGCAGCTCCCCATGGCCAACACAGCCTCTGCCCCCATCTCTTACTCCTCTATTCCTAACACAGGTCAGCTGTGTCCACGCTCAGAGATGTGCCAGGCATTATGGCCCGAATGACACATTGCTACTGTTAGCCTTCTTTGCCCATTTCATCCAAAGAATGTTCTGGAACAGTCACAACCAGAGAGAATCTCTCAAGTGCTCTGTGGGATTGTCCTCCCAGGAGCTCAGAAGAAGATCTATCGGCCTTGACCAGAGTTCAGAGACTGCACCGAGCAGGCAGCCAGAAGTCAGTGTAGAATGGAGGAATACAAGAACTCGATGGGACTGAAGTCCAGTCACTTGCTGTGTGCCAGTCATGTGACATGTGCCAGGGCTTCTCTGATTCTTTGTTCATAGCAGCTTTGTTTGTCATAGCCAGAACCTGGAAACAACCTAAATGCCCCTCACCCGAAGAATGGATAAGGAAAATGTGGTCCATTTACACAATGGAGTACTACCCAGCAGAAAAAAAAAATAATGACATCTTGAATTTTGCAGAAAAATAGATGGAGCTAGAAAACCTTATTTTGAGTGAGATAACAGAGACACAGAAAGATAATTATCACATGTTCTCATTCATAGGTGATTTTTAAAAATAAAGCAAAGAAGCCAGCCTACAAACCACAATCCCAGAGAATTTAGGCAACAAAGAGGACACTAAGAGAGACTTAACATAGATCTAATCTACATGGGAAGTAGAAAAAGACAAGATCTTCTGAGTAAATTTGGATCATGGGGACCTTGGGGTGGTATATATGAGAGAGGAAAGGCAGGGAGGGGAGCAGAGAAAAGTGTAGAGGATAAATCAACAAAAAAAAAGGAGTCATTCTCGAGAAGAAGGAGAAGATCACCCAGGAAGCCCAGTGAGGTCACTGATTCAGCAGCAGTGAGAGGCTGGGGCCAGAGTGTCCACTGGACTTTGGGCTTGCTGGGGCGCTGTGAAGAGTTCCTGAAAGGCAACAACAGGGCAAAGAGCAGACACAGGGTAGTGATGAACTCTTCTAAGTCTGGGATCTGAATGTGTGTCCCCATCACTTCCTTCCTCATTGTGTCTGAAGTGAGCAGAACCTGACCACTTCTCTACCTGAGGTTACTAGAGAGACACAAACAACCAGAAGGTGAGGGGACAATGAAAAATAGATTGGGGGAGGGGAGGGTGGGGAGGGAATTATGGAGATGAGGAAACAAAGCAATTACAGACCACATAGGAAATGGGCAAGACTGGATAGGACAGGAAGCAAGGTGTCTGGCATGGTGAGGTCAATTCCATATCTTCCTGCCAAAGTCAGGGCTGGCTCAAGGGTTCGGCCCTCGTCTCACAAGGGTGGATCTTCTGCAACATGGGAAAGAAGAAGCCAGAATGATACAGGAAGTTGCTGGCCACAAGGAGGTGGAGATGGGGAGGTTCTGCCCCCACTGTCCTCCACATGAGAAGGCCTGGGGGATGTGGATCCCTTTACCCTGATTCTCTCCTGAATCCTGAGCGCCACAGGCTTCTTCCACAGGGCCTCCTCTCCTGCCTGATGGCTCTGCTGGTCTCATTTCACGGAGGGAATGGGGTCATAGCGTGGGTCCTGCTTCTGCTGCTGACAGCAGTGTGCGTGCAACCTGGTGAGTGGTGGTGAGTGGTGGGGACCTTGCTAGCAGCCATCTGCCTTAACCATAAAAGAGACCAGTGGAGTTGGGAAGAGTGGGCTGTCATGTGGACAGTTGACTGCTAGAGAAGCCAGCCTGACCCCTGTACCCCAAGAGAGAGCTCATCCTCAGAGTGGGTCCAGTCCAGCCTTTTTTTGTTTGTTCTGTCCTATATGGGACAGTGGGACCTAGAGACATTTCTGCTCCAAGTTCTACACCTGCCTGGGGGTGAAGGCTCAGGAAGCTCTGGGTTGTCCCTTCTATCCCCTTCCATGGCTTCAGATTTTCTCCCATCCTTCCCAGGGAACTCAGCAGGATCCAACAGAGTAAATGGCTATCGGGTGGAACAACCAGCACGCCTCTCTGGTGTCCAGGGCGGCTTCATCGAGATCCCCTTCTCCTTCTACTTCCCCTGGGAGTTGGCACAGGATTCACAGATGAGGATTCTCTGGAGATGGAAGAAGTTTCATGCGGAATTGATCTACAACTCTTCCTCGGGTTTCATACACGAGCATTTTAAGGGCCGGGTCATCCTGAACTGGACACAGCCTCAGACATCCGGAGTCCTCAGAATCCTGGACTTGAAGGAGAAGGACCAGACGGTGTACTTCTGCCAAGTTCGTCTGAACACAAGTAAAGGTGTGCTGATGTTACAGTCGAATGATGGGACCCACCTCACCATCACCAATGGTGAGCCATCCTGGCTGTGGCTTCAATGCCTCTCTAGCTTCCTTGTCTCTTAGATGTCGCCTGAGGCACCACAACTCTGAGCCTCTTTCATATTCCTTTTCCTTGGATTTGACCATGCCTCTGCCAAATGAATCTTTTCCTGTAATTGTGACAAGCCTTTGCTGTCTCCTCTTACCATGTGTGTCATTCTCTGCTCAGAGGGAACCCCACCACTCTCTTGGCTTCAGCTTGTGTCCTACCCCCTAGTTCACCTCCTTTCTGACTCAAATTAAGACTGTGGTCCTGTCCATGTCCACTTCCCCATGACCTTGAAATGAATTGACTTCTCCAGAATGTAGCTGACTCGCTTGGTCCTGTGTCAGGGCTCCAGTTAGTCCCTGTATCTCCACATAGCCCCAACCTAAGTCCAGAACAAGCAGTGGGGCACATTGCATGTTCTTGGTGTCTTATGGTTCAACTGTAAGCTGTCACCTGTCACCTTAGTTCCCTATTTCTTCTCCTAGCTCCCCAGAGCCCATCCCTCACCTATCCCTATCCACTCCCTTGTCTCTTCTCCATTTGCCAGTTCCCCTCTCCCCTATCTTGCCCTCCTGCCCTCACTGCTCCCACATAAACCCCAAGGGTCTTGGGAACTAATGTCCCCATTTTCATGATGTGGCTGCTCTGTCTTCTGATCCTTGCCGCTCCTCTGAGGGAGAAGTAACTGTAGCCCCAGCAATGGGAATATAGAGTGTAACATTGGGTGGCTGGTCCTCCTGTGCTCCTTCACCTGGCCCTTCAGGATCTGTGGACTCTGTGTGCTTCCTTGTTGACCACAACTTTGCACTTTGACTCATTTTTTTAAAAAAAATATATTTTGATGTTTTGGTTTTTATAAGACAGAGTCTCACCATGTAGCTCTGGTTGTTCTGAAATTCACAGAAGAAATCTGCCTACATCTGTCTCCCAAGTGCTGAGATAAACACCTGTGCCACTACATCCAGCAGTGGCTGTTGACTGGATTAAAGCCAGCCTGTGAGAGGACGCCCACAGCACAGTTCTTGTGCAGTCTCTACGGCCGCCATGTAGACCTGATGTAATGTCTAACCTCAGCTTCCAGGGCTCAGGGAAGGGAGAGAAAGGGCCCGTTTCCTGGGTCTAGAGCAGTGATTCTTGACCTTCCTAATGCAGACAGCCTTTAATACAATTCCTTATGTTGTGATGACCCCCCCACTTCTAACATCTGCTCCTCATTCCACATCCCACAGAGGAGACAAGATGTGACACTCACCCCATCCCTCCTCATCCAGGGAGGATCTACTCACTCCTCATTTCTTCACAGTAGTCGGAACCACCACGAAGAGCCCCTCCTTGGTCTCCTCTGTAGTCACCACGGCTGGCTTGGAAAACACAGAGAGCCAAAGGAATCCTTCTTTTGTGAACATAGTAGCCACGGTCGGGGTGATTGTGGCCACGGCTGTGCTAATAACCCCAGTCTGTGTACTGATGATCTTCCTCTGGTGGAAGCAAAGGTGAGTGGACCAGACCCTCAAACTAACTTCCTCTCTGAGTTCTCAGCTGTGGGGAAGGAGAAGGAGGAGCTTGTGCAGGACAGAGAGCAGAGAACACAGGGACAGAAAGGAGGCTGACTCAACCAGGACTGAATCTGCCTCTAATTCCTTAGAGTCCCAGCTGAAAATTAGAGTATCAAGTGCAGATGAACACAGCCTGCTCCTAAAGTAATTAAGGGGCTCGTGGGAGCCCCAGTAGCTAACTGCTCATTTGGAAAGAGCTGTAGATGCTAAACAAGGTCTGAAGTAGAGCAGCCTTGAGAGACAGTATCTCACAGGAGGTGAGACTGTGAAAACAGAGAACTGCCTAAGTTGGGGATACGGTATCAACACCGAAATTAAGACATAGGTTTGCAATAGACCCACAGGTGAAAAGAACATGTCTGAGAAGAACCTACACTAAAAGAGGTGAAAGTTTTGTACCTAAAAAAATAAAATATCATTGGCTGAGAGAAATTGAAGAGCAGCTGGGAAGATAGTATAGTTAGTCAATTGGTTGCCACAGAAATACAAGGACATGAATTCCATCCCCAGGATCCACTTAAAAGGTTGGTCATGTTGGTAGACATTAGGGCAGGCAGAGACAGTAGGATCCCTGACGCTCACTGAGCTGCCAGCCTTGCCCAGTCAGTGAGAAGCCAATGACAGCCTTGTCACATAAAAGAAGGTGGGCCGCTCGTGCAGGATCCTACCCAAGGGAGTCCTCTGTCATCCAAACCAACATGCAAATATACACATACATA